TATTGGACGTGCAATAAGGACAAGCAGTATTTAAATTAGCCTTATTTTGACATCTACGCATGCGTATTTGGGTCCGAAAATAAGGATTCCCTTAATAAGGTTACTGCTTGTCTTTATTTGTGTATGGTTAGTGCGAGGCAGTAAACTTCCCTTATTTTAAATTTCTGACATTTTGGACGACTTTGACGTTTCGCTTTTCGACGATGACGTAATTTTACTTAGAAAATTTATTTTTTACAATAGTTTTCCATTTTACTGTAGGTAACATAAAAAAATCGGTATCAGCAGAAAATCACAAACAAAAATAAACCCTTTTTGAGGCTGAAATTTATAAACATAGCTATCAGCTGTCAAAATTATGAATAAAAAATAAGGTAATACTCTAGCACCTACTACAGTCTTCCAATAACTGTTTTTTTCTTGGAAAAATAGTGCTGATGCACTAATAAAATAACGTAGATTCTTAATACTGCGAGGCAGTATTTAATAGTTCCAATAACTCTCTATTCTCTCTATAGTTTTCTCTATTTTCGTAGCTAGCAAAGTTTCAAACATTCTACAGCTCTTGGACAAGAAGGCCCTACACTGTTATGTTATTATGTTATATTATACTTCTGTATTATTTCCTTCCAAGTGTCTTGTTTTTCATTGCCGTGTATTCTATTTTGCACAGATATTTCGATCGAGATTGATTATTGAATTTAAAAATCAAATATCTACCTACATAATAATAAATAATGAAATTCTCACAACATGAACATATGCCGTAAACAACGATAGACGGCATGTCATTTCACTTTGCGAATTTCCTTTCTACGCATTCAATTAGTAAAACTTCCCTTTAAACCATCAAACATGACCGTTTAAGTTGAACCAAGTTCAAATCAAATTAAACTTTGTTCAAGAAACGGTGCAATGGATTTCTTTGATTTAAACCAAGATTAATGTTAAACCAAGATCAGAAATTGTTGGTGCAACTACCCATAAGAGGTGGGTTCGGTTTGCTCACTCCGTGCACTCCGAGTGACTCCATTCGCACTCCAGCCGTTTGGGTTAAGGTACGGGTATTGCTTTTTACCGTATTAGGGGTGACTCCATTAGCTCTATTCACTCCACTCCAACTCCGCGCTGAATAGTCGAACCTAGGTAAGGTTGTTTTTAAGAGAACCTGTAGCGCTGTCATTTTTATAATTTCGACAGGCTTGACAGATCAAGAAACAAAGGACAGAACCATCTGGGTACTTTTGACTTGTGCTTTTCTATTTTGTCGTCGGACCGAAACGGTCGTCCATATTCTGTCTTCATTTTTGGCCATCGAGCCCATAGTTTGATAAATTAACTAGCCAGTAAAGTGGTTAATCGTGTCCGCTAGATAGTTTCTTGAAAAATCAACTGATTGTTGATTTTTGTGTAAATATGGAAAGTGAGGTTAATATCGGCCGTACAGGTATGTAAATTCCTTTTTCTCTCTGATGAATGAGTCCTTATACTCCCTAAATTCGTATGGGCACTCTGGCCAGGACGAAAGAATCCTAGAGTGCACTTATCCAAGTGGAAATTGACCAATTTGAGACCATGCTGTACTGCATCTCAGAAAAAATCTGGGCCCCCTTTTCCAGGAGTGTCGGTGTTCTATAAGAAGTAGATCCCCAACCATTATTTGGTTGTCTCCAGCCAATTTGCCAACTTCCAGATCTCAAATTTGTGAAAACCTCCAAGGATTCCGTCCAGGCTTGTATAATTATTTACCTATGGGTCCCGTAAATGTGCCATATTAATTACCGTTAATTTTCATTACCTTTTTCTTTATCGCTCCCTATCGATTAGCTTTATTAGCTAATTAATATCTTTGTAAATATTAATTACCGTTAGTTATTACTATCGGGTCTTCAAAAAAAAAAACCAATCGAAGATTGCTTTGATTACGAAAACGTACGTCGCATTACTGTTTCTTTATTGGTCAGGATTTTTGACATGACATTTTGACATTAAGTTCATTGACAAAATGAAAGAAAAATTTTGCTAAGACATACGTTTGAAAAACCATATCAATCTTTGATTGGTTTTTTTTTTTTGAAGACCCGATATCTTTTTTTCTATTGCCACCTATCGTTTAGCTTCATTAGCTAATTAATATCTTTGTAAAATCATTTACCGACTCGTTAACCGTATAGTAGTATTTAGCTATAATAGCTAACTACTGATTAAATACAATTATTAATTTAATTAATTAATTAATCATTATCACAATGGGGTAGTATACAAGTGATTTTTAACTACTACGTAGTGATATACTTGACGTATCGTACTATTTAGTGTAATCAGTCGCTTTGTAAAAACCGCAATAGCCTGGATTTTTTTTTTATTTCCTCTTAGCCCCGCCCCTAAGTGAAAATAAAAGTTCGTGACGTAATTAGTTTTTCCAATCTGGCAACACATCACGGTTTTGAGAACGCACAATTTGCACTGACATTGACAGTCAAGAACGAAACGTCAAATCTACTACATTTGAACAACGTAAACAAGTTACTGTGACAATGTCACATGTCATACGATTCACACGACACCACACGTCGTTGAACTATTGAAGTCAGCTATCATTTTGAGGCATTTTGAGCAACGTTGCCAGATGGCCAGCGGCTTCAATACTATTGGTTGCCGCTGTGGCGCTAAATTCAAATTACAGTTTGTTTTTCTCTGACTAATTCTATAGACACTATGCTGGAAAATAATTTAGTATACCACTATACCATCACCATTTATCCTATAGAATAATGTCGAGCAGTTTTTTTACTGATTTTTATACATAGTATACTACCCCATTAGATATTTACCTTCTTTAACGTTTTCTTTATCATTATCTAATATTCTAGTATCTAATAATTATGGATTATTATATTTATTACAAATTTATTGCTTTTATATCGAATACTGATCGATATAATCACAGCCTCCTACACTTAACAAGCCATGAAGTTGGAAATGACGGCAACGTCGCATATGGTGCTGTTTTGTTATTGGGGTTATGTGTTTCTGTGTATTGCGTTCATTGTTTATTTTTGCAATTTAGTATTTTTGTGGGCATTATTGACGAAAAAGTGGATAGAAACACACCGATATATTGCCCATATTTAGTTGATACCTGTTCTTTGTGCTTTGATTGCAAATTTTTAGCAAATGGGTACAGGACTTACAGGAGCAAAAATGAAGGTAAGGTAAGGTAAAACAATAAACACAATATTAATATTTGTGTGCAAGAGCATAGTTCTGGATATATTACCTAAGATATATAAACTTGTTCCAGATGGCATGAAACGACTGCGTTCCTGGGTGCAAAACGAACTATAGGAGTTCCTTAAAAACTGGAGTAATGCAAACATTTTCATTTCCAAAAAAATTCTGAATTGCAAAAGTTGTGGATGAAAGCAATAGGTACACCAGAATAATTATACCCGAGATTATACAATAACGAAAAATTCTGTGGTGTGTTGTAAACATTTTGAAGAAACCGAAATACCTACCTAATTAGATTTGAAACAAACAAGGATAAAGGAGTAATTCGAGAGTTCAAACTAAAACGTCCAACTCTTAAAAGTACCTGTTATTTTCAAAAATCAGCTCAAGTATTTGAATGGACCTGCCTTCCGAAAAAATCCCGAAGAAAGAAAAAGTTAGATTTTCAAAAGACACACTGAAACATAGGCTTATAACACTTTAGAATCTAGAAATATATTCATTTAAATCAACTATTTACTGTTATTATTTACACAAATAGTTATATTATTCATTGAATTACTGTTTTGGGCCCTTTAGTACAATAAATGATGCATTTTTTGTCATTCATATTAACAAAATAAAAAATATATATTTATAAAAACAAACAGCACCAGCACCACTTGGCGGTATGATTGCGGTGTTGCCTTTTTAACTTCATGGCTTGTTAAGTGTAGGAGGCTGTGATATAATATATTGAGGATTCATTAACCTTTAAAAGGGTAATTTAACTTTTAATTTCAAATCAATAATGTGGTAGTTTTACAAGGTAAACTGATATAAATTCTTTAGGTAGTCAAATTTAAGTTTTATGGTTACTACCTATTTTGAACTTTAAAGGTAAGAAGGTAAGAGCTCTTCCGGAAACCGTGAACCCTTGATTTCATTTAGCGGGTTTTTCATATTTATAACTGCCTAAGGATCAGTTATTACCTTTCTGCATTGATTAAATTGTTTTCTATTGATTTGATTGACTTTGAGTCCAAAAATTAAAGGTTAATTATATTTTCACTTCAATATTTATACTTAGGTAAATTTCATCGTGAGTTTCTATTTAACTGTTTTTAAATTTCAATCTTTTTATATGCCTATTTAAATTAAGTTTTGCTTTTGGAAAGCTGCTTAATTTTTATTTTTATTTTTTAAATTTGGATACTGAACAATATTCTTCTTTGAACTTTGAACAACAAGTTCGTCTTCTTGTCATAAACTTTCAATGAACAAGTTCGACATTTAATTAATAAATTATTGTTTTTAGAATTCCAAAACTTGTGTTTTTATTGAATGGGTTAAATGTCAGATAGCTATTGGATTTTGGATTTATTTTACCTTTTCAGATTTTTGAATTTATCTTTTTAAATACTAGCTAACTATTTGAGTAGTGTCTAGTTTGGCTATTCTTTTATAATCAAAATAATTTTATACAAACTAGTGGCGCCCTCTCTTTACTGTACCAGACCAAGGACCACTCCAAGCTGAACAACCACTGAGCATAGTCGAGCACAGATTATGAGCATTCTTTTGTTTCGACAAAAGAGCGTTACAAATATCGGCCATATTACAATACCATTTCATACCAAAATTCATTAAAATGATTCAAGCTGTTTTCGAGATAATTGAGACGTTCCATACTTAAAACTCACTCTGTATATGCCCTTTGATAACCAATTTGAGATATAGCTAGCAAAACCACATGCTCTCTACCTTACATTATGACTTTCAAATTCCTATCTACCATCATCTGCGTATATTTTTAGAGATGCAAAACTTACCGGTAAAAATAATTTTCCCATTTCTTCAAGGGTATCTTTTTGATCGAAATGTGGATATTGAAGTCCTACAAGATTAGCCATGATATTCTTGTACAATGGTTCCAATATTTTTATTGATCCATCAATGCCAGGGAATATTATCACTGTACAATTATAACTGCCTTGGCTTGATTTACCGGTTATTGGCAAAATAATTTCCGTCGCATTCTCTTCACTTGGTATGAATTGGATAATAGCGTTTGGAGTTTCAGGCGCTTGCTGTTTTTTGATACCTGCAAAAACAGTGTAACAATAGTTATTTTTGTATCTAGTGCGCGAAATGCTACTTTTGTGATCGAGGACTGATTTTTTTAACGAGGCGCAGCCGAATTAAATTATGCATTGAAACATTTTTATTTAAGATTGAATTTTTGCCGTTATTTGAAATTGATGCTTTCGCGCCTTTATGACGTATTATGTTCTAGCCAATAGGAGACGAACGAAAATAATCCATAACGACCTAAAGCCTGAGAAACAGGCAGCCAGATATACACTACTTATTTTTCTCAAAAAATTAATACTGATTTGATAGATTTCAATGTCATTAACATCCTTTTATATTGGCTGATTTCTAGTTCTGACGACAGTCTTGTGAAGTCACATGACGCGCGCGTTTTGAAAAGACTCGTTTTATCGGCCAATTCAGTATTTTTCTTCTAATCGAATTACGAGTGGTCGATCAAATTATTGCTACATACATTTCATATTGTATTCAGGCATTTTGAAAACCCAATAAAAAAGAAAGGTGGGACGGCCCCATTAGATACGCCATTTTGTAGAGAAGAAGAAATCTTGAAACTTCTGTATTGAACACTTTTTTCTATAAAGTGGATAATTTTTGAAATATTCAATAAATGAGTTTTTGGCATTTTTTACATTTTCCCTTGTATCACGGACACGAACGAAAATTTGACATCACTTGTGAGAAAGCGTCTTTCATAAACTCGTGTGATTTTCGCACTTACTCGTGTGATTTTCGCACTCGGCTACCGCCTCGCGCGAAAAAAAACTCGTGTGAAATTTGTCACTTTCTTCACTCGTAATGTAATATACTATTACATTACATGTGCGTTTATAAACATGATTACAATAACGAGTGTGAAAGATTATAGAACGACGAAGACCGAGTCGTTCTATTAACACGAGTTTTGTAGTCATATTTAATCACACGTGTGATGTACAACGTTTTATCGACAAAGCGAAAAATAAGAACTTTTTTCTCAATTTTCGTTTATTAGTAGTTGTCTACCTTCACAGGTTTAACTATGACATTTGTAAAATCACAAAAACTGGTTGTGCTATGGATTCATAACCTAGTCCATAAAAACACTAGTTGTGTTATGAGTCTCATGACAACTCAAATACCAGAAAAATGGTTATGTAAAAACGTCATAACCAAACGCTTTCAGATAAAATACTGTGTATAATACGTATGGTAATTAGGTTACTACCTCCCTTTCCCTTGAGTGATTGTCAATTTCTCTCGCGTGTGGTAATAACCTAGTTGTAGTTACCACACTAATTACATAAGGTTTGTTCCAACCTGCAATAATATTACTTTAATATTATTGTCCGTAACCGCGCTAATGCGACTGCGCAATCAAAAACAGAAATATTATACTAAATAACTTAAAAACTTGTTGGAACGTTTTTTGAACTAGTAGTACTTACAACACAAGATGAAAATAACAAAATCAACATAACTTGCATATTTGCAGCTGAATCATCTTCCACCACAATAAGGAATTCTTCTAAATTTAATATAAGACAAAAATCAGATTTATTAACTCTGAGAACAAATAAAATAAAATTACTTAACTTCTATAGCAGTCATTTTCAAATAAATAATTTAAATAAACAAAAACCTGAGGTTCTGGGTTATGTATTATCATTTATGTTCGTTGTTGTTCAACCACTGACCCGTTTTCGACCTCACTACGCATGCGTCTAATTTTAGAACCAACAGTTCTTCCTTTCAAGCAAGAATCGTTTGAACCGTAATTTTACTATCCGTAACTCCGGTTGGAACGAAGAACTGTCAATTATCGCCAATTCTAAATTAGTAATTTTAACTGGTTGGAACATCATTTCACAATTGCGCATGTGTGCCAGTAATATTACTGGAAATTACTGCCGGTTGGAACAAACCTATAATTTACTATTTGTTTCCCAATCTGACTTCAGGCTTAATATTATATAGATATCTACTCACCATCCTCATTTTCTATACTCCGTTCTGCTTGAATTTCTAATAGTTTTGCAAAAGTAAGTACTTTAATATCCTGTGCAGATAAGAAAACTTCATATTCACGATCAAGTGTTTGTTTTATTTCAATTCCAGTCATGGAGTCCATACCAATTTCAGCTAATGTCGCTTGGAGGGGAACTGATTTCATATCTTTAATACCTGAAAATAGATTCATTCTAGATCTGCAATTTATTGTTCTTTCTAAAATGACTAAGTTTTCTTTAAAATTGTTTTTACTTGAATCTGACCTCTGTATGTCGATTTGTCCTGAATTTTTCACAATCCCATTTATTTAAAATACTTATTGTTATAAATATCACATGTGAAAATGGAGGAAATAATTTCTATATCATACTGAATGGATAGGTAAAAGGCGGCCACCACAAAAAAAAAAAAAAAATGGTCATGGCAAAATAGGGCAAATAAAACGATACAATCCTCTATTCTTTCAATCTAAATTCTTAATAAACTGCACAAACTGATCGCAGTCAGGGAATAGTTATTTAAACAACAAGTTTTGAAAACGACTTTTTTCGCACGGCGAGACAGTTGAGCGAGTGTGAAAAAAGGTTTTCAAACGAGTTTTTCCCAATGCTTTCCCTACAATTGCAAAATAAAACAACCAAAACAAAACATCAACATCAGAAATTGGCGACAATCGCAATTTATGTTGTCATGTCAGGATGACAGGACCAAAATAAATTTAAAAAATCATTAGCAGCGTGTGAAAAACTTTTTCGCACGCTGTGCGAAAAAACCCTATTTTCGGCGGTTGTCTAGCGTGCGAAAAACTCCATTTTCAGAGGCAGTTGTAGGAAAATATCTTTGTGAAACCGAACAAACCACACCACAAACACTTGACTCCGATCACAAACTATTAAAAATCGTAGAAAAGAACGTGAACGTTCGACATAAGAGAAGAGCTGGATTAGAACAGCGATCGGTTACCGCTGATTAGGTGAACAATCATTGTAATGGAGGAATTGTGGTTCCAGAATAGACTTAAGGCCGAAACTCACTAGCAACACGCCACGCCACCCCACGCCATGTGACACAGGTTCACATGGGACAGTTTGTGTGCAAATGGACGGATGGCGTGGCGTACCATGGCGTGGTATCGCGTATGGCAAGTGTGTACGCAGCACATAAAGTCTGTTTTTTTTTTTAAAGATAATTCCCCAAGTCAAAAATGTAGTAACTATGTTGGCAACACAAGCCTTTTCTACATAAAAAATTTGAAAGCTTGACAATTTTACATTGTATTGCCAACATAATGTCATTTTGACTTTTATCTTTTGCCACGCTTTTTCGCTGATTAAGAAAAGTTTATTAAAAAAAAAAAATTTAGAAAAATAAATTTAAAACAAAAATTAAAATCGAAAAAAAAAAAAAAAAAAAAAAAAAAAAATAAAAATAATGAAAATAAAAAAAAAATAAAAATAAAAATAAATGAACGAAGAACTTGAGATTGTAGGACTGAAGGTCAAAGTGCGTGCAAATTATGCCCTAGCTCAGAACTAAATAATTCGGAGAGTAGGGGTGGGTTTTAGTTTTGGGCGCCACCGACTCTGAACAGATGAGTCGGACTCTCCAGGATGGTATCTGGCTTCAGGTCCTTACAATCCAAATAATAATTAATAAAAATAAAAATATTAGCAAAAACCAGGCTGTGTGCATAAAACCAAAATAAAAGTCAAGAAATCAAGTGCTACAGTTGTTTATTTATCAAATCCACAATGAAACAATGTGGGCATTGACAAAAAAAAAAATAATAATAATCAAGTAAATGAATAATTAATAAAATGACCTTGTCATGAAGTGTCAACCAACAAACACAGAAATGCTATACTGGTGAAAGAATTACTATAGTCCTGAACAGTTAGATTTAAATGCAAAAATATGTTATTGAAACTCAATAACCCAAATGAATAATAAAAAAAAAAAGGTATAAATAGAAAAGTTGTTAATATAAATTGAAGAGAAAAATTAAAAAAAATAAATGAGTGAATAATAAATTGGAGCGGTTATTTTACACTTATGTAACCAGAACTACCAGTAGGTTGACATAAATTCAACAGGTTACGTCTAGTTAAGTTACCTATTTAATAATTCATTTACCACACTGGGGGCAAGCAATGAATTATTCCCTGAAATACCGAGGTGATCACCGTGGTGTACAAATAGGGACCGAATGTAAATAAACAATAATAATCAGGATAACTAAAACTAGTACGATACCAAAATGTTCCAGGTGATGGTTGTTCTTACAATTAACCAGATTAGTCCTGGCTACTGGTTGTGGTTAACTTGGTTGAAGACTCGAGTAACCGTCCAATTACTTAGGCTGGTGTCTGTTAGCCTTTTGGTTCAATTTCGGTTACAATTGAACGTCTATTGGTATAACCGTGAGGGTAAACTTGATGGTAAAGTACAACCCCTCGCTAAAGAAAACCCTGATGGAAATAGGGCTTGTTTGCCTCGAAAATCTCTGGAAATCTGGATCGAGGATTGGATTTCCTAGAGAGAGTGAGAATTCTCTACTCTTTAGGGCAGCTTTCAACACATGGAGTTGCAAAAATCCGAATTAATCGGCGAAAATTATAACACTACGAAAACGTAAGGCAAAAGGCAACTAAAATGTTATAATTTCAAATGAGAATTTAGGGTCGAAATCCCACAAGGGCGAAGACAATCTTCAGAAAGACCCTAATTCTCCAACGTCCAGATGTGAAAGGAAATGTGCCACACATTCAATTAATAGGCTAACCTAAAGGGAGGAATTTAGACTCAGAGATGATCGAGAATAACGACAAACATCAAAAATTTAATCGATAGAACTTTTACTTACCAAAATATGCACACAACAATATAATCCGAGAAAAATAACAACAGCTGACGAATAATGATATTAACAACAAATAATTATCCCATAAAACAATCAAAACTTAAAGAATACAAAATATAGTAATCCGTTTGCAAAATTAGAGGGCTCAAAGAAGAATCGACGATACTAAAAACATTACTAGTCGACCGCTGGTTGACAGAAATTTTTGACAATCAAAAGTCAAAAAAACCGAACGCAAGGATAATGCATAAATTATCTTAAAGACCATCGAACCAATGAACGACCCGGGGTTCGCTAGAATTTGCTCCGAGATCAATAGCGCTCGATAACCGAACAGAGTTAGTACGAACGGAGTAGTTCGGTACATCCACTTGAAAACAGGTCATCATGATTACGGAATACGAAATATTTTTGACACATGAATTAATTATTTTTGTTATGAAAACAGATGTACGAATTTAAAATTGGAATCAAAATATTGCTTTGTTTTGATTTTGAAATTGAATTAAATCATGGATTAAAATGAGGAAAAACCATTACAGCAAATAGAATTTGACTATTGAAAATTAGGAAATTTACAGGATCCACAACCGTTGAGATTATTGATGAAATTGAAATTGAGAGAAAATGTTGAACAACTTAAGGAAATCTTGAATATAAAATTGAAAGTAGGTAAGAATTATTTATGCAATTTTGGCCTGTTACACACTTTATAAATAAATGGAAGAATATACGCATACATTTTCGTCACATGGCGTGGCGTGGTGAAGCATGACGTGGCGTGTTGCTAGTGGGTTTCGGCCTTTAGTCCTTAGTCATCAAACAAATCAAGAGATAATGATGCTGCCAAGATTTTATTAAAGTGGAACGCTTTTCCGGCCTAGGCCGGGAAAGTGATTCTCGTACTGCTGAATAATTGGAACAAAAAGACAAATATTTAACAGATATTCAACCGATCGCAGAAAAAATAGCAGGTATGTGTATTTCGGACAAAAGCACATTCTCGGCTTTCGGTGTTTGTTGGCCTCGGCTACTGTCAAAATTATACTCTTTGACATTGTCACGGACATTGCTGTCAAAAAAATTTCTATCCGAATAACCCTCGAACATTGATAAATGCTCAAAAATTTTATAACAGATTTCGAAAGCTTGTTGCTTGGAAACAGACCGACGCGCTAGCGGAGGTCTGTTTTCTCAAGCTTGAGCAAATTTTTTTCGGACAAGTATAAAAAATGCCCTTGGGCTATTAATACTGATAATATACCATTGGGCATATTTTTTCAAAAATGGTTTAGGGACCCACTCTGATTGCAAAACCAAACTGACATGGTCCGTAACCTCATCAGCTTCAATCATCATTATATAATTTTTTTGTAACCAATAAATAACCAAATTATATAAAATTACCTAAAATATTTGCAACAGCATCTACAATATTATCTCCACCCGTATTTGACTTTTTCTCCGCGACTACCATACTAGACACTATGGCAGATTCGTTTTGTTTTAAGAGTTGGTCCATTATTCCCAAGCAGTTTGATATTTTTTGTTGTAATGTGCCACCAATTTCTATTTCAATTGCTTCCTCTCGCATATCAGCAACTAAACCAACCTAAATAAGAGGAAAATATTTGAAGGAAGGCAACAAACGATTCATCTAGACTACGAATAGAGAAAAACTGTTCATGACGAAAATGTTCTCATGCATAGATTCCTTTTATAATAATAAAAATTGATAAAAACATCTGTTTTCTAGGCAGCTTTTTCTCAAATTACAACTATTGAATTTCATGACATAATGACATCAAGTGAAGGTTATAATTCTTCTCATTACTCTCCTTGACAGACAAAAATAGGTAGGGACTTAAAACTAAATAGTAAAAGTGTGTAATTTCTTACTTCTCCTATAGCTCCCCATTGAATCGCTAAACCTGGAAGTCCTTCACTTTTTCTCTTTTCACATATCCTTTCCATGATGGAGTTTGCCATGCCATAGTTGGTTTGACCCGCATTTCCTCTTCCGCAGGATACAGAAGAAAAGACAACAAAATCCCTACATTGAACAATATTGGAATGTTTAAAAAGATAGGTACCTACTTTAATTTAGAACGTTTGTAAGTCCTTATAATAGTTTACTTCACTTCTCTAACATAATTGTCTCAATTGACCCTTGTTTCAATTTCAAAAGTAGGCAACAATAATTAAAAATAAAACATTAACTAAGTAGGTACCTTAATTGTGGGCACATTTTTCGAGTGATAATATCTAGATATTCCGTGGCAATTGCTTTTGGTCCAAACGAAGTTTTGAATGTCTGTTTTGTTTGATTTTCGAAAATAGTATCATTGAGAACGACGGCGAGATTGAATATTGCATGAACTGGTCCCAATTTATTTGATTTTTCAATCAAGTTTGAACAACCTTCATAGGTTGTTATGTTGTCTGTTGATATTTTGATGTTACATCCATATGATTTCCAAACACTGAAATAGGTACAATATAAAAAAAAAATTATTGGTATGACCAAAATTCATGCATATCTACGTTCCAATTCGGAGAGAGAATTTTTTGGCAATAATAATCAATTGAAGAGTTAGATATCAGATACCACGCATGCCCTAAATACTTCAACTTATCTTTCTTGCATATTTGGCATGATTCCAAGGAAGCTCTATAGTGTGTGACATGGACTAATGAGTATAACTCATCCGCAATAAAAACTATTAGCAATACAACTGCATTGTTTCTAGAAACCATAAAAAGCAAAAATAAACCACTTCTTGTCTCCAATGTAATCTTGGGGCTGGTTTAAGGTCATTGAACCACTCCGAACCATCTCTTTCTGTCTTGCAAGGTTCCTCCAAATTGGTTTTCTCTTTGGTCTAAGTGTTTCTCTTCTTGGCGAAACTGTCGAAGATTCTTATAATCATGTATGCATTAACTGCTCCATGGCCCTTTGAGTCTGCTTAGACAGGTTGTCAACATTGTTATTTGTAAAGATCCAAGTCTGACAGTCATTATACCAGTAACGGTGATGCAAATTGGTCGTACACTCAGGTCGTACATATTTGCTGATTTTTTTCCAGGGAGAGATTTTAATGACGACTATTTCTATTATTGGTCACTTTTGCTTTCCCTATATTTTCATCTCTAAGCCTATTTCTTCAAAAGCTTTTTCCAGCTGACTAGTCATCAATTGTAGCTCTTCAAAACTTACCTAGATCGAAAAATCACGCCCGTACAAGCTCGAGGACTTCAGCACCAGTTTAATTTTTTTTTTACTTGAACTACTATAAGGAGATCGATGCCACACACTATAATAGGTTTATACTCGCTATAGACTCTTTATCTTATTGTTCGAATCTCCTGTAAACCGGTTCCTCCAGATTTGATTGAATTCGGAATTCGCTTATATTGCACTGATGAGAGCTAATAAGCGAGAGTACCCAATGATTGAGAATTCGGGTTTCTTCATTGTCTTATACAGCAGAACACACGTATTATGTAACCTAACCCTCATTAGAACTATAAAACTCATGGTTAGTGGAGTGGAGTTATTAGCAGTGTGTTCACAGCTTCGGATTAACAATTGTGTTTTTCCGAAGATAAACTTCAACTTCTTTGATTGAATTTCTCCACACTGTGAAGAAAATTCTTATTCTCTCATTTACTGACTCTCTAGCCTACAAACTACGTGCATTCTATTCGAGAAATATTGTCCCTAAATACTTCAATCGAACACTGGCAATACTCGCACTCGAATTCGTGGACAGCACGCCAATACAATTTCGTAACATTTTTATATTACTTACGATATTCTGTAAGCCTGATATCCGTTTTTGATTCCATTTCTGGAAGTGAGGACCAAGTTTTTACAACCTCTCAGAATTAACCAATCTGCCAACTCGAGTCCAAATCCTCCGAGGCCGCCGCATATTATATAGGTTTTATCAATATCACAGTTATATCTACAAAAAAGATACATGGTGAGTAAGAAACCTGAAAATTGAAATAATTGATTTCCTTAAAACATGTAGGTACCTACAGGTACAGGACAGAATAGAATCGGCGGTACACACCTACTGATGTTTTCTATTTAAAACGGAAGATTACTTCTATAAAATGCCGCCCGATTTTGTTGTCAAATTCAACAGCCACAAGAAGATTGTAACATGCTAAATGTTACTGTTTTTCTTTCTCCCATATATTATTTTAAATTATCGCCTTGGATGCTGAGAGTCTGGTGACTGCCATTATTAAAACAACTTAAAAGTAGGGTTCTGTCGAAAATAATAATAGCAATTATTAACCTAGAGGTCAAGCTTTTCGTTTAAATTTGAAGTACCAGTTTGGCACCAACACTTTGCGTTGGCTTTTTTTTGAAGGGAATCTATTTTAACGAAAGTTGCGTAAGGCAATAATCCGCTGATTACCGAGAAAATTTAAATCAAAAGTCTAATGATAACCGTTTGAATTTCGAACCCCCTCGTGGTAAGTCCTTTTTATTTTACTTTTTTCTAAAAGTAATCGTTGCTCATGGAATGCCTCTATTACTTAGGGCTTTCCGAGGAGCCGTTTGTCTCGATGAATCCATTTCCCACAAGCCCACATTTTGAAAGATTACCATTTTCTTGGAGCGTGGGCATAGAGCTTTTAAAGGAAATACTAAAGGATTCAAGTCCCTCACGTATTGACTTCTGTACCTTCACATTTGACGTCAGTTATTGTCATATCATTTCCTAGCCTCTATTCACCTTGATTCAAGAATCTGCAATTTCCATTTGCAACTTCCCTTGTCAAGTGAAAAAAAAATAAAAAAAATGGTAGCTACCGTAGGCACTCTCCCCTTTTGTCGGAATTGAGGCTTGTATAGAGTTTCATTTATTATACCTTTTATCACTTTTTTTTAATGAAATCTACTTTATGGATCAATTAACAAAACTATTTGATTTTTTTTCTGATATGACATTATATTTAAATATTCAAAATTTCGATTTCACATTCTTGACACTGAAGGGACCTTTAAATAATTATTTCCGATTTTCGATTTATCGAATTTATTATAGATTTATCTTTACTGAACTGAAGTCAAGGTTGGACAACATGTTCTAAATTTAAAATTATTGAGTAAGTACCTACTACATCGTCGAAAATTGATCAATTTGTTGTTGACCTGTGTCCTATAACTTATATTTTTGAGAATTTCTATTATATTTCCTTTATACTTTAAACGTTCAATCTTTGATGTGATTGTAGTGATTTTATTTTTCTGGCAGAAGCTGACCATATTTATCTGACTATTTCACTAAAGTGTATTACACCGGTTATACAACTCACAGTACATTATTCCCATATGACACGAGAGGCTTAATAAGTGATAAGCCTTTTGGGATTATCGCGCTTGGTGGCATTTATAGCAAATTCTATTATAGAAATTTTTTTAAATTTTAAAGTAATAAAGTTTGGTTCATTGTATAACCTTTTGAATACCACTCGAAGTTTCAGGATTACCTAATACTCTTACCTGACACTCAAAGCATTACCAGCAACACCACTCCTCCTTCGGAGTCGTGGTGTTGCTGCGTAACGCGTTTCGTGACAGGTAAAAGTATTATCCGGTAATCCTGAAACCTCTTGTGGTATTACATTCGACAATAAATTCGGTATTCAGCTGACAATATTGCTACCTGGACAATACCAACAACATGGTATTTCATGTTCAGTACATGATGAAAGGTGCTCTTTTTCCATCTGTTTGGACTCCGGAGACAACAGTCTGAGGCTTGATAAAAGACAAATAAATGTCCGAAACGTTGCCGAAAACTAGATAGTTTCTTTTAGTCCCCTAGTACTCTAACCCACGAAACTCTACCTATAAAAACAAGTTATGACAGCTAACTTTATTTTTTTTAAATTGAAAACACCAATTTTTTATTTCATTTTTAAATTCTACACTAAATTCTGAACCTATTTTATGTATCATGTCCTATACTTATCTTCAACTGTTTCGGAAATATTGACAGTTGGAAATCGACTTTTTTGCAACTTTGACAGTCTGTACAACCTAATAGTAGATTATACCACGAGTCAATAATGATAGCTATTATTCCCGAGGATTATTACGAACTGAGCCGCGTTAGCGGCGAGGGAGTAACATTCCGAGGGAATAATAGCCATTATTGCGAGTAGTATACTCTACTTTATTTACGACAAATTAATTTATTTGAGAGTTTCAATGAACAAATTTCATCCGTCTCATAATTTTCAATACAAATCCACAAGCACTACACGTTTGACACTGACACTTTTGTGGAATAATGACCATTAATCCCGCTACTCGTCATTAATCCCTGGAGGAATAACATATGTCATTATACTGCCAAAATCACAAATATAATAAGCACATTATACATTAGTCGTAAATAAACGGTTTATTTTAGAGCAAAAGCGATCATACTCTTGTCTCAGTTTTCCATAAACTATCATTTGACACCAACTTTGAATTTATTTGGAATTTTTAATTATGGATTAAATTCAATGTTGGTATCAAATGATAGAATAGAATAGAATAGAATAGTAGCTTTCTTTCAAATTACGTTTTTACAATACATATTACAGCATTACAAAATAACATGAAATGAAATGGCGTCACAAAACAATATACTTAAATTACATATCCAAGTAATCTTTCACACAATATGGTTCTATGTCTATTAACAATTTCTTGGTTTTATTTTTAAATTCCTTGTAGTTTTCTATTATTTTAAAGTCGTTTGGTAATTTATTAAATATTTTAATACAGTTATAAGAGGGATTTTTTTCACTTAAAGTTAATCTATGAATAGGATAATAAATATCTGTGGTCCTTCTATTGTATGTGGTGTTAGTGTTATGTATTAAAAATTCATTTTTGTTTTTATGCAAATATAAGAGGCACTCGTGTATGTATAGACCATAAACTGTTAAAATACCCAACTCCCTGAATTTGCCTCTACAGGAGTCTGTAGCAAATTCGCCCCAAGTACTCTATGTAAATTAGTTAGATGGTAAATGGCGAGCGGTATATTGATGGTGTTTATATACTTGGAGCTTGCTATCTAAAATCTGTGGAAGAGGGTCTATTTGCAAGAGAGAGAAACAAACTAAGGAGGTGTACTAAATTATATTTTATTTCACATAAAACTCAAAATCAATTAGCCAAATATCTCCCAATACTTTACATCCTTCTTTAATTCTGTAAAATTAATACTTCACATCCGTTCTATATTGTTATTATACGGACCACTGAAATATGCCTACTTAATAAGAAACGCCCTATTCATACTATTTCTCAAAATAATATTTCTATTTATTTCACTACATCCGAATCATTCCTAATAACTACCCTTTACCTAGTCAAATAATTCCCTAAAATCTCTAAGTCCTTTACTTATGAAAACCCAAAATAATTACCTATTTGTTTAACAACTAATTTATTCTCATAAAATCTTACAATAACCTCTACTTGTAAAATAAACTCCCTAATTCAAAATTCATTTCATGGACAATAAATTCTTTTAACGGCTTTCCCATATTCTAAGACAATTCTATTTCATGAACAAGTTTAATTTACGAAACATCCTATTTCCTTTTAATTAGTTTATTTAATCAGACAAATTCTAATATAAGTTTCCTTTTAACTAGTTTCCAATATTTTAAGAAAACAATTCTATTAATAGTTTCTTAGAACAAATTCTATTTTCGGATTCCTATGCCTAGCTAATAAATCCAACTGTTTAATTCATAATTTCCAACTCAAAATTGAATATTGTTAAATGCATTGTAAGTACTCTTCATATTTTTGTTGCACATTTAAATGTCATTATATCTGAAGGTAATTAAAGTTATGCGATAATGTTTCCTTCATAAAACACTCAAGTTATTAATTTCGTTGTAATAAAGTTCCACCGTTAAATTAAAAATCAAAAGTTTTCTAGTAAAATTTCACAAAAAGTCATGTTCATCAAAATAAATCTTGTCACTATAAAGTACTTACATTTTGTCCATAAAGCACACGTAAAATTATTTAATTTACTACTCAAAATATTTAGCTTCACGCACATAATTGATTTGAACGAATTTAAAATGTTATTACTTTCACGATTCTTCGTAAATTTTCTAAGTTAATTTATACCCGAGGCCATAGGCCATAAAAGTAACTTTTCGCGAAACTGGACAGACTTTAACTCAAATGGACGACTCAACTGTGTTCTGGCAACTATCAACTGGGAACTATCTTCAGATCACTGGGAACTATCTTCCGCGAGTTTTATATCAAATCGCTCTCCCCACAAAATTATTATTAAATTTCCCCCTAATCGTCAATATAGGCGGTCGTTAACTTAGGAATCCGAATTTCATTGGACGGCCTCATTGTTATTAAAAGAATGATGCAATTTCCTTGAATATTATATCATTTTTGTAGCCCAAAAATCGACTAATTATGTCGTAATATACTGATTTATCGAGGTCAAAACGTTTTGGGTTCAAAAAATGCCATAATTCATTCGATTTAATTAGTTACACATGGCCTTCGCTAACGAAAAAGTTCATTGATCGGTTATTAATGATGTCATACTGTCCTCGTTTTTATCTGTTTTAAGAATTTAATTTAGATGACACTTCCGGGTGTCGTAATTCGATTGCTTAGTTGGTTTTTATTTTTAATTTATCGATACAGATTTCAAAATACCGGAATTAAGTTTTTGATTGTTTGATTATTTATTTAATTTTTACAGTAAAGACTTTGTAATTATAGGGTCAAATTTCTGGATCATCACATCCCTCCGCCCTTTAAAACCGAAATTATATTGAATAAGATAATTTCGGACAATTCTTATTCAATTGTCCCATTAAAATATAAAATTTCACCATAAATTAGGTGCCTGCCTTGTAAAATGAGATTCGGTCGGTGAACCCTCTGTGAGTTATGGGTTACTTTTCTCA